TCCCACCCAAAATTTTACGTTTTGAATTTTATCAAATACTACACACGTTTGAATTTCTATCAAGATCTTAAAAATTTGCATTCTCGTTCTGCTTGGTCAGTTTCATATTCGTGTTTATTATGATCGTTATGCTTATGTTATGAGCATATGTATGAATGTTTTATAATAACATAGTTGCAGTAACTGCTGAAGTATAGTAAACTTCCAAAAATGGTTGTGTTTTAACACAGATTAGCTTTCTAAGGAATAATATTCGGAATGGCTTAAATAAAGGGAAAGTAATCGAATAGTCAAAATAATTTCATTTTTTTTTGGCCAATATATTATACAGTACGAAGGTTGGGAGGTCTCCCCTTTCTCCGCAAAATCTTGAATATTGAAACTGTTACAGTTCGCTGCAAAACAAGCAACGGACCTTTTTTTTTTTTTTTTTTTTTTTTTTTTTTTTGTCACTTTCCAATCTGGATTGAATAGGACTAAAAGTTCTGCGGTCTACCAAACCCAAGCGAAGAATGATTCTATTCCGAGAAATTTAACGCCGTCTGTTGAAAATTAGAACGAAAAACACCCCAGTTATTTAGTTCTTTATTCTCCCAATACCGGCAGTTGTCGATTCCGATTGCGTAATATCACGTAGGGAAGAATTACGGTGCGCGTATTGCGCAGAGTAACGTTTGCGATATTTTGCAGAGATAATTAATTTTGATGTTCAGTTCCGAGATTTGTTTATGAACACTTTAAAGAGTTTTACTGTGCTTGCCAAGCAGAATATTTTTTAGTTCCATTGGTATATTTTTATATGATGCACATATTGAGATGTCAAAAACATTTATTTAGCGGAAAAATCTAAAGAGCGGCTACAATCTACTCCCCCTCCGCTCCTTCAAGTTACGCTCTACTGTCCGAATATTCGCCAATTTCCAAGTATGCAGGTTAGTTAAGCTTTTACTGTTAAAGATGACTGCATGAAGCAAATTTCTGTCTTCTGATTTCAGAAATGTTCCTCTTTTTTACTTAAATTACTTTGCTTGCAATATCTGTTAAGAGAAAACTGATATACAATGAAAATTTAGAAAATGTTCAAAATTTAGATTTAAATTATTTAAATATCAATATGAGTGGAAAAATAAATTGTATTTATTATTAGGTTCCAAGCGAATACAATAAATATGCCTTATTATTATTTATTTTCTCTATTTTGAACTGAAATTTCATCATTAAATCTTGTAATATAGTTTAGTTCTTCATGGTTTTTTTTTTTTTTCTCATTGTAAACTAGTTCTGTAAATTGAACTATTATTTAAAAATTTAAAAAAAATAATTATTTTCCATGGTTGAGGTAATGCTTTATTCTCTCTAATAAGTACTTCATTTCTCATATTTTAAATTACAAGTCTAGTTTTTTTAAGGTTATGCAGTTGTGTATGATGTAATTAGACAGGTGCTTATTTTTTTCTTAAAATGTGCTTGAAAAGTGCTTATAGGTGCTTATTTTTTTTAACTAAAATGTGGCTATGAACCCTGATTGCGGTTCATATCTCACTTTTTTCAAACATAAAGCAGTAGATTTAGAGGTATGGTTTGTAGCCTTATCCTGATGGAACTTAATACAGTCAAGATTGTTTGGATAAAGAGATGGAATTTCGTCTTTAATATAGGTGTTTAAAGTTATTTCTGATTGTAATCCCAATTGATTTGATATTTTTTTCTACTTTCCTTATTTTAAGTTCCCCTTATAAAAGAATCCAGTAAGAACATAAAACCTTTAGAAAAAAAGACATTTTTTTTTCTCTGAACCCATATATTAGTATTTTGCTCCTCTTTTTCGGCAGTAAATTCATGTTTATCTCTTGCAATCGTTACACGTAGCCCAAGCTTCATGAGTTGTAACTACAACTAAGTGCACTAAATTAGGGATATACATGGCTATGCAAATTGAATAGCGCTGCGCGCCGCATCTGGGCTTACGTGAGGGAGTTGTGGTAAATGCAACATACAGCTAGCACTATGCTTGTCGTTAATCAGTTGTTTCATATACCAGTATAGGTAAAATTTCAATATCGGGCAGATAGTAATCTCTCGTCGCATGGGCCATACAATTTCTAAATCCTCAGTGGGATAGGATTTTAACGGTCGACAGTGTCAAGAGCATACCGAGAATACACGGATGGTGGGAAAAAGAAGTAGCGACTCTGCAAAGTGCAAAGCACATTTAACTTAGAACAATCGTGCTGTGAGACGTCTCAGCCGTATTGTACATGGTCAATGAAGCCAAGTATTAGCTCAAATTACCACCTAGCTAAAGCAGGCGACAGTCGTACAGTCAGTAAAAAGATCGTGTATCGCTCCCTTCACCATATGGGCTTCGGAAGCCGTAGACACAAGAGGGTACCCTTCCTAAATGCATGCCATCGAGTTGCCATTCTTACCTGGGCAAGAGAATATAGAGAATAGACACTAGTGGACATGAAATGTGTAGGAGTGATGAGTCTCGATCCCTCTAATTAATACCGATGGGAGGCTCAGAATATGGCGAGAGAATCATGAATGTATGAATCCGGTGTGACAGATTGGAACTGTACAAGGCCGTGGAGGCTTAATCATGGTCTCGGATGCTTTCTTCTGGTTGTGTTTGGGATCTTTAGTACTTGTTCTTACCTCCCTCATATGATTCTGTACGTAGAGTTGATGAGCTATCATCTTCTATCCATTTATGTCCCTGTCATTCACACGGAAAGGGAGTATCTCAGAAAGATAACTGCGCCTCTCACAGGTTACGGTTGGCTACTGGTTGGTTGGATGGAAGAGCATTCCTCTGACTTCTCTGTCATAAATTGGTTACTTGAAAGCCCTGACTTGAATTCTACTGAGCATCTTTCCAAATTAGTATATCTTATTATTGAGGAATGTAGAGAATTGAAGTGCTATGTTCTATTCACTCGTTTTGCATGTTCAGAATGTCTGTTATGATGGTCGTATGAAGTGTCGTCGCCTGTTATGATGTCAAAATGTCGTCGCCTGTTATGATGTCAAAATGTCGTCGCCTGTTATGATGTCAAAATTTCGTCTGTTGTGATGGTTTCGTACATAAGCATATGATTGAGCTTATTATTTATAAGCCTTCCTAGCGCTAAATACATTCCCTTTAATAACATATAGGTCATAGTTCATAGGTCTTCGCTTATTTAAGAGGTACAATACCCTGAAATCGTTACCTATCTATATCTGTCCTTAGTGGGTATCATATAAATGTCAAAAATAAATCCCAATGTTGGAACAAACCTTTTCACTTGAAGTTCGGAATCACATCCAATGTGGCAATATGTAACAGTGGGATAACTTGTGTAAAATAGCGATATAAAATATCTGAAACCTAACTTTCACATCGTAAAAGCAAATTAGCACATCTGTAGCATAAACACGTTGGCTTAACTTTACCTCGTTAGTGCTACGGCTGTAGCGTCCTCCTTGCTCCGTGTCTTGAAGCTAGCGGAATATCGTGGCCGTAGTTGTTGAGGCATGTAACATAAGTGAGAGGAGCATAGTTGCACAGACCAGTTGTTGAAATTTTTACGCGTGATACACATCAATGTGCTGCCCCAAGGTTTCGCAAAGTCCATATCGATTTATCAGCAATAATTAAGTAAATGTAATAAAGAGAAAATGATCAAAAGTAGAAAAAACACTATGTACACTAAGTACATCGATCACCAAAACTCATTTTTGGTGTATCGTTCTCGCTAATTATATAACGTAAGTTCATGTTCCGCTAACCAGTTGATTTTATCTTAAAGAGGTGACTATTAAAGAATTAAAAATAGTTTTATATATTTTTGTATTGTGTATATATTTAGCTTCATTTTTTTTCTAGTCAAAGGTAGATGAAACCCTTTCCATCAGAGTGGCAGGTAAACATGATTCTCTGTGCTTTGCACCAATAAATCCAAGACAAATTCATGTTTTGAATGTACTTTTTGTATAAAAAATATTTTCCCAGAGTATTCAAGTATTTTCGTTTTAATAATAATAATCTCTGGTTATATATATATATATATATATATGTGTGGTACATATAAGTATTACGTTTATGCTTTGTATTGCAAGAAACCCCCAAAAAAGAAACATTTATTTAAATATGTATGGCAGCGGCAGTTTTGCGTTTGGTTCGTTTTCCCACTTTTCCGCTTCCACTTTTATCCCAAAAAATAGCAAAAATCAGAGATATTAATTAAAAGTTATTAAAACGCTAATTTTCGCCCTAATTTTTCCGAATGGCAACAGTGCTGATATCATCAACAATGGCGACAGGGATACAACAGCTATAATGGTTGCGTGGCATTATTGCTGATGTAATGAGAGAGAATTACCGATTTTATGCGATTTTATCAAAAAAATGAATAAAACAAAAATAATAAAATAAAATTTAAAAAGTAATTCAAATTTTGGAAACCTCGTTTCGAGGTGCACTGGCTCTTCTCTTGATTTACCTATGTAGCAAATTCGTAGGCCTGGGTCTATCAGCTTACACGCAGACAGAACGAAAGACAGACTCATAGAAACTTCCCACTATTGTGAGTAGAGTTATATATCAGAATACCTTTCATTGTTACATAATCAAAGAATCCTTTTAATAACGTTCGGAACAATGAATTTACCAATAATAATTTTAGGCTTTGTTGAATTAAAACAAAGTTAATGTATACATTTTTAACAATGCTTATAAACCATAATCATTAGAGATATCAAATCTAGTGGTGCTAAAATCTTACGTGTGGAGCTTATTTGCTTGTTATTTTTAATGCTGAAATCGCATTCGAACCATTTTTAGAAATGGAGTTCTTTCTTTTGACAGTATTGTGTTACGTTTTTATACCAACACCCTTTATCGACAGCCTATTAGGCATACTTATTTGTTTTGCGACTGCCTTCCTTTTGTTTTCTCGAAGAGAAGAGAGAATTCGGGAAAATAATGATGAAAACTCTATTAACCGTAAGAACACATGTTTAATGCCGGAAACAAGGTACGTAATTTAGATTTCCTTGATTCATATGCTGATATTAATGAATTTAATGATGATTCCTTTGATGTGGACACAGACAGTGACACCGATCTCCTCGAAGTTAATAACGAAGCTTTTGATAATAACCTTCTTAAGTTGCATATTGATAGTGATACTGACCACATCGGCCATTTTGCCAAAGATTTCGATAATAATTCTTATGATGTGCACAATATCAGCGATGAAAAGCAATTTAATTACCTCCAACAGGAAACAGAAAAGGATTTCGATTTTCCAAAACCTGATAACTCAGGTAATCAAATGGGCACGAGTAGCAGTATAACCATCTTGAACCAGGAAGAATTCAGTTTGAATGCCTCTATTGAATCATTGGATGCTGAATGCATTGTATCACATAACGATCTCGGAGCACAAAGAGACATAGATTCTGGTAATCTCCTTAACACAAATAATGAACCAAAAATGAATGGCAAACTGGATCAAGTAGACAGAACAGAACTGAAACCAACTGAAGTTTCTGAAGAACAGCTCGTTTGATCTCATCGTTGATACCGTCCCTGTTATCTGCTTTGATGACGAGTACACTCAACATCCTTCTTCGAATCATAGCAAGCGTTTCAAAATTTCAAACATAAGAAAAACATTACTGAAATATTTCTGCTTTAAAAAATTAAAAATAAACAAAGGACTTAAAACATATTATATAGATCTGAGATAAGTTTACACAATTTCAGTTTGTATTCCTTATAAATTTGTTTGCCATGACGCCAATCTCGACTGACCAGTACTTGCCTAAAAATTGGACATTGACTGACCAGTGACTGAATAAATGACAATCTCATTGACTAAAAGTAGGACATTGTCTGACCAGTGACTGACTAAAAATTAGACATTTTCTGACCAGTCACTAACTGACGATCTCATTGACTGACCAGGGCCTGCCTAAAAATTGGACTTTGTCTGACCAGTGACTTACTAAATGACAATCTCATTGAGTGACTAAAAGTAGGACATTGTCTGACCAGTGAATGACTAACTGACTATCTCATTGACAGACGGGAGACTGACTTAATTTGGACATTGACTGAGCAGTGACTGAGTGACAATCTCATTGACTGAGCACTGACAGACTAAAAATTGGACATTCACTGAACAGGAACTGAGAAAGTGAAGATCTCCTTGCCTGACCAGTGACTGAATAAAAATTGGACATTCAGTGACTAAGTGACGATCTCATTGACAGCCTAGTGACTGAGTGACGATCTGATTAACTGACCACTGACAGAATAAAAATTGGACATTCACTGAAAATCGACTGAGAAAGTGGAGATCTCTTTGCCTGACCAGTGACTGAATAAAAATTGAACATTGACTGACCAATGATTGACTAAGTGACGTCCTTATTGATTGAGCATTGGATTTGGACGGAAGAAATTGCCTTTTTCGACAAGAGAGAGGAAAGATGTTTCAGTCCAATCGACTGCGCTACAGCTGAAATGGAAACAGAAAATCATTTTAAAATTCTTTTCTAGAGCTACATTTCAGAACTGCAAAATTTAAATGAAATTATATGGTAACCTGAAATTAAAATATTATTTGCAGTTAAATGCCGTTGCTAAATTTGTTTTTCTTGTGCTCTTAAATTAATTTACTAGTTTAGACACCATATTCAGTTATGATTTACCAATATGCTCTATTTTAACTATAACTTCTCATTGAATTAAGTTAAGCTGAAGCTATTATTGAAATTTTTCTTAGGCATATTTTCCCTTGTTGTCTGTGCTCCCAATTCGAAGTGACCGTCAGCTACTTGCTTTTTGTTTTTCCTATGTGATTTGTCGGAATTTCGTATAAAAAACTCCAGATTATCATTAAAACACGAATAAGGATGTTATTTTGTATTTTAGATTTTTTTCTCTCTCTGGCCTCCATGTCAAAACTTACTAGAAATAATAAATTAGAATAAATTGCTTTCTTTTCAAACGAAGTATTTTCAATATGCGTCCCATAGCAATATGCCCTGTGTTTAAGAATGCTAAAAGTTTTACCCTCTTTGATTCCCATCCAACGTGCTGGCTGCACGTTTGGCTTCTGCAGTTTTCCTTATCTCGATGTACATTAGGCGATTTCCCATAGAACGTTCTCCGCTAAACCATCCCTCGCGCCAGGCAGGTAACCATCCTTTTCTTTGCCCTTTTCAAATAACCTAACTTTTACTCAAACAAATCAGTCATGACATGAAATTTGGAAGAAATAATTTAAATAGCTTTTATAAAAAATGTCTCGATTGGATATATACTGGAAGTTAAAGAATTTACACCCCACGGATACACCCAAAACAAATATTAAACTGAAAGCTTTCAGACTTTGTATTGCACCTAAAGGGATCATTTTTTCATTTGCAGACATAAACGTTTGGACAGAATTCGGGCTAATGTCCCTCTTGGTTCAAAATATTTAAAAACAGCGTATTTTATAAATTAGAAAATGAACCTTTCATATACTTTCATATATTTGAATAAATATTTATGAGGCATTATTAATAAAAATGAGAATAAAGGAAACCCTATGAATAATCCTGAAACGTTTATTCTGAAATTTAAAATTCAACGTAACTATCGCAAATGACTGAGTGCAGGGGGTGTTGAGGTATCCTTTTAAGGATTTTGCAAAGAATTATATATATAAACAAACGTTATAATTTCATTTTTCTAATATATTCCGTCTGAGAGCCCTTTTGTTAAACCATCATATTACATCTTGATTTGTAAGAGAAAAGCCTTTTCCTGAAAACATCAAGGTTGATTTTATGCCACTTCTCCTTCACAATGTTCCACAGTCCGTCCAATGTTTGGGGATGCCACGTATAAAGAGCTTGTTTTAAAAGTACAAATGCACATTAATCCATAGGAGACACATCAGGAGATTTGGTGGCTATGCATCTAGAGGGAATAGCTTCAATTGCGCAGGGTTCGTAGCGGTCCTTATAAGTGATTATAAGTCCTTATATTTGAAAATAAAATAAAAAGGCCCTTATAGGTGCTTACTTTTTCTTTAAAGCCCTTATTTTTTTGTTTTTAGTGCTTATTTTTTGCTTTTAGTGCTTTTTTTTTTTAATGAACGCGCTATTTTTCCCCGTACCAAAACCGAAACTAAATAAAAAAATTTTCTTCCTAATATGGAATGTCAGATGGTGAGTCATACTCCCGGAAATAGCTTTTCCCCCTTTCTCTGTATTAACATAACCTTTGGTGTGCACGAAGAGTACAGACAGGTGCCCGTCGTTCTATTGGTCAAAGAATTGCGAAAGCAGTAGAAAATTCCGCTACATTCGGCATTCCTTTCCTCCCACCACACGTTTGAATTTTTATCAAGTTCAAATTGAATTTTTATCAAATACTACACACGTTTGAATTTTTATCAAATACTACACACGTTTGAATTTTTATCAAATACTACACACGTTTGAATTTTTATCAAGATCTTAAAAATTTGCATTCTCGTTCTGCTTGGTCAGTTCATATTCGTGTTTATTATGATCGTTATGCTTATTATAAGCATATGTATGAATATTTATAATAACATAGTTGCAGTAACTGCTGAAGTATAGTAAACTTCCGAAAATGGTTGTGTTTTAACACAGATTAGCTTTCTAAGGAATAATATTCGGAATGGCTTAAATAAAGGGAAAGTAATCGAATAGTCAAAATAATTTCATTTTTTTGGCCAATACATTTTGCAGTACGAAGGTTGGGAGGTCTCCCCTTTCTCCGCAAAATCTTGAATATTAAAACTGTAAAAGTTCGATGCAAAACAAGCAACAAACCTTTTTTTTTTTTTTTTTTTTTTTTTTTTTTTGTCACTTTCCAATCTGGATTGAATAGGACTAAAAGTTCTGCGGTCTACCAACCCAAGCGAAGAATGATTTTATTCCGAAAATTTAACGCCGTCTGTTGAAAATTAGAATGAAAAACACCCCAGTTATTTAGTTCGTTATTCTCCCGATACCGGCAGTTGTTGATTCCGATTGCGTAATATCACGTAGGGAAGAATTACGGCGCACGTATTGCGCAATAACGATATTTTGCAGAGATAATTAATTTTGATGTTCAGTCCGAGATTTGTTTATGAACACTTAAAAGAGTTTTACTGTGCTTGCTAAGCAGAATATTTTTTAGTTCCGTTGGTTTATTTTTATATGATGCACATATTGAAATGTCAAAAGCATTTATTTAGCGGAAAAATCTAAAAGAGCGGCTACAGTCTATCCCACCCCCCTCCGCTCCTTCAAGTTACGCTCGAGTGTCCGAATATTCGCCAATTTCCAAGTATGCGGGTTAGTTAAGCTTTTACTGTTAAAGATGACTGCATGAAGCAAATTTCTGTCTTCTGATTTCAGAAATGTTCCTCTTTTTTACTTAAATTACTTTGCTTGCAATATCTGTTAAGAGATAACTGATATACAATGAAAATTTAGAAAATATTCAGAATTTAGATTTAAATTATTTAAATATCAATATGAGTGGAAAAATAAATTTTATTTATTATTAGGTTCCAAGCGAATATAATAAATATGACTTATTATTATTTATTTTCTCTATTTTGAACTGAAATTTCATCATTAAATCTTGTAATATAGTTTAGTTCTTCATGGTTTTTTTTTCCTCTCATTGTAAACTAGTTCTGTAAATTGAACTATTATTTAAAATTTAAAAAAAGTAATTATTTTCCATGGTTGAGGTAATGTTTATTCTCTCTTAATAAGTATTTCATTTCTCATATTTTAAATTACAAGTCTAGTTTTTAAGGTTATGCAGTTGTGTATGATATAATTAGACAGGTGCTTATTTTTTTCTTAAAATGTGCTTGAAAAGTGCTTATAGGTGCTTATGTTTTTAACTAAAATGTGGCTATGAACCCTGTATGATCCCAGAGTTTTGAAGTTTAACCCAGCCTGGTAACCCTTACGATAGCTGCCTCCTTTTCTACTATTAAATTTAGGGGATAAATTCCTGCCAGCTGTTGTAAGGCTAGTGTTAGCGTGGTACGGTAGGTCCTGCATACTTGGAGTAGCTGCTGTCTCTGAATAGAGAGCGGGGATCTTTTCATATGAGAGGTAAGTTCGCCACCCTAGATTGCTGCTCCGTAAGTTATTACTCTTGCTGTAATGGTTTCATGCCAAATTTTTAGTAGCTTAGATGAGATACCCCATTTATGTGAAGTCATGCCTCCCATGTTGTTGCTTAGGATGCTAATACGAGTCTTAAGATTCCTGACATGTGGTATCCAAGAAAGTCTGTTGTCGAGTAATAGCCCAAGATATTTCAATTGGGGAAACATTTTACTGGTATCCCATGGAGTTTAATGCTTAGGTTGCGTCTAAGCTGCCTGCTGCGTCCTATGAGTAAAGCTTTAGTTTTCTCTGCCAAAATATGAAGCTTATGTGCTCTGGCCCATTGGGAGAACAGATCAAGACAGTATTGAGATTTCATCTCGACGTTACTCCTTCCTGCCACAACTAGCATAAAATCGTCCGCATAGGCTATGATTCGAGCGTATTCTACGTTCTCGAATTGACGAAATGCCGAGTTTGCCACTATTTTCCACAGTGTTGGTCTAAGCCATGACCCCTGTGGGCACCCTCTAAAGACATTTTTGACATAAATGCCGCTGTCTGATGTTACTTGTACACTTCGATCTTGAAGTTACGAGCGAAGGATGGTAATAATGGCTGTTGGTCAGGCCATGTTGTGCAGCAAATTTATTACGTCTGGCTACTAAAGGGAGTCAAAGGCTCCCTTGATGTCAATGGCTATTGCCAGTGAGTGCAAATTGTTATCCTTGCTCTGTTTGATAGTGGCCATTAAGTCTTTTATGGCATGCTCAGTTCAGTTGCCCATTTGGAATCCATATTGATTGGGATGCAGGGCGTTGTTCCTTTGTAGGAAGAAGTCCAATCTGTAAAGAGTTACTCTTTCCAATACCTTACCGAGCGCTGGCAGTAGACAGACTGGCCTGTAAGATGAAGGTTCTGCCGGAGTTTGCCTGATTTTAGGAATAACGCCACTTCTACCAACTTCATATTTTTATTAAAGTGCTTATGTTTCCAGCAAGCTGAAATAACCGCAAGGAATAGTTTTGGGAATTCCCGGTGTATCTCTCAAATGATGATATTATCAATTCCATCCGGATCTGGAGCTTGTTTTTGGAGGGGTGCCAGAGTACGTATGATGTTATTCACTTCCATATGCGTAGGAGGGGGTTCGTCTGTTCTGGTAACTTGGCGAAATTTCATACTGTAGGTTTTTCTCGCTTCCTTTTGCTCCTCTAAGAAATCCTCTTCATCATCATCAGGAAAAACTGCATTTATGATCTCACTGACTACTTCGATGTTGGATGAGGCAGTGCTATTCACCATAGGCGAAAGTATCGTAGGACGAAACACCTTGTTATATGTTATCTTTTGAGTAGGTCCAAAGGCTTTAGTGACATTACTGCAGTAAGTTCTCCATGAGATTAACTTGGCATTTTAATTTTTCTTTTATATAAAGCTCTGGCTTTATTGTACGTTATCATTTTGAGTTGCCGTAGATATGGATCTAGCGTGGATTGTACCTTTCTGCGAAGTGCCCAAACTCTGCTCCTCTCTGTGTTAAGTTCTTGTGACCACCAGGATATGAACTGTTTTGCCTTTACAGATTTCAAACGATATGCTTTGTGAGCGGCTTGCACTATTTTTGTAACTAGTAAGTCAGTAGAGATTATCTAAGGAGTTTCTGTCCTTGGTAGTTGTTGAAATCTTTGATAAATTTCTCTACATGCGCTCGAATGTGTTCCCGTAAAACGGAATGTCCTCCAAATGCCGTTTTGAATCTTTTCTTAATTATGTAGTCTGTAAGAGTATCCAGCCTGTAAGTAATAATTTTGTGATCACTGAGTGACGGCAGGTCACTCACTTTCCAATCTTGTATGTACGGAGTTGTATTGGGAGTTGATATTGTCAGATCTGGCCACCCTCGAGCTCTAAATGTTTCAAAGGTAGGCGATGAGTCCTGAGCGTTGATGACAATGAAATGCTTATTGTCCAAGAATTCTAGTACCGCAATTCCCCTTCGGTTCTCCGAGTCAGCACCCCATAGTTGGCTGGTGGCGTTAAAGTCTCCTTCTATGATACAGTGTGATGCCCCAGTTAGAAGGTTAGAATTAAGTTCTTCTAATAGAGAGGTAATACCTTCGCTCTCAAGGGTAGATACACAGCAATAATATCAATGCTGCAGTTACTAGTGTCTAGTCTGATGCAGACTGTATGCTCTGTGATTTTCATTAGGAGAGGAGAGAGAGGGCCACTGTTAATAATCGCAGCTAGCTGATTCTTTGAGAGAAACGTTCTGCTGTGTGTTGGAACACTGGCAATCGCTCCGTTGTAAGCGTAGGGCTAGGAAATTGGTTGGAAAAAGATTTCACCCATTTTACTTTAAGCACAGCGAAATCAAAGGTCGCGTGACATGATAGAAAATATTACTGTAAGGTCATTGAGTTAGCTGTAGAAGGTTCACCCTTGATGGCGGTACCGATGTGCTCTTATGAATTGTTTAATCAAATATGCACATTGTAATATTTCAAGAATTTCTTTAAGGCTGTTTCCAAGTTTCACTGAAAATTTATTTGCATCTATAGTCATAAAAACGTTATTTTCGATCATCAAGACAAAACGTTCTAAATGCTTCTTCTCATAATGATAAAATATTGAGGGCCATGGCTGTCCAACTAGAGATTGAAAACAACTTGTATACCTTCACAAAATCAGCGATGCCTAATATTGATAAAGAGGTTTTAAAACGTTTTAGTCACACCTCTATGAAAGATATATCAATCCGTATACATAAAACTTATTTTACTACACAAATTACAATGTAAAAGAGCTCATTTTAGATATGCTAATATGTCAATCATAATAAATAAAGATGGTTGTAGGAATAGTATACCAATTTTAATGTTCAAATCTCGTTTTGGAAATAATATACCAAGTCACAAAACTTTCGTTAGAAATGGTATACCCAACCTAATACACAAAGGTAATGATTTTATATGAAAGGCCATTTTTCTTACCAGAATATTCACTTTAATTAAATGAAAACCAGTGTTCCTTTAAAATAAAGTAAGGAGCAGTTGGGATATTTAGTTAACCGTATTTATATTACATGTTATACATTTATTATATATTCATGGATTTTGATGCTTGCACTTGATTTACATATGCTCTCAGAATTTAAATGATATTGTAGATTAGTTCGCAACAATAATTAATCATTTATTTGTAATTCAATTTCATTTAAAATTTAATTAACTTTAAATTTGCTTTTTACGAATAGAGAATGTTTTTTAAATTCAGATTTCATTCCTTGCAGCAATGGCGCAAGAGAATTATTTAATTTTAATTTAACTTTACTTTATTCTTTTGAAACAATTTTTGCAACAATAATTATATTTTTTCTGTCAGAGCTGGATGTGCAAGACTGTGGTTTCGATTAAGATGTATGCTGCGCTTTCGAGTATTAATTGGATGTTCGTTGAAGGTATGCTTCTTCATAGCAGGATTACAACAAATATTTTCCAAAAGGATGCTCCTTTCAAACTCTACTATGTCATTGGATGGGGTAAGTAGATAACTGAAGCTGCCCTTCAGTTAATACTTTTAATTTCAACTAAATATCTTAAATACACTTGACTTTAATAATAAGTAATATAATCATTAAAATTTCAAAATAAATATGCATATAACTATTGGTGCGACGTTTGATTAAACGCAGAACAGTGGGGACCGTGCAACGAACCAAAACAATTCAAACAGAGAAATAAAAATTTTGAGGAATATTGTAACAAATATAGCCAAGAACAGAGGGAATTAGTACATAGTTTGAATACGAACTTATCTATTAACTTGACCGAAGTTTGCTGCAACTTTATCAGTCTAAGTAATTTGATCAGAGGTTTTCTGAGGCTAGAACATTTGATAAATTCAAGCTGAGTTATGCTCCCACCTGAGTTATGCAAGCTGAGTTATGCATGTTAAGCTAAAGATTCCGAATTATTTGAATTATAGTAAAGCAACCACAGACTATCTGCCTAGGAACAGGGATGTCTTCATGAAGGACATTTTAAGGGCAATGACTTGCAAATTACGTAATGTATGGGGGAAAGCACGAAAACCAACCAAGCAGACAGCCCGTTCGCAAGGGAACGAATGCAGTGAATTTCCAGTATCCAATAGTTCAAGCACTCGGGTTACTGATATGGCGATATTTTAAATCAAACTGGACTCATTCACATTGCACATGAAAAAAAAACACAAAACTCTTATGCAGCCAGCCCATTTTTCATGTTTTGGATCTAGGTCTTGTCTCACTTTGTACTTCTAGGTTACTGTTGGAAGTGAAGAATCTTAAGAACTGATAATCGAATAATCGCTTGAGGTCGTGTGACAGGAAACAACAAGATAGAAGGTTAACTAACCTTTTATTATTCCAACCAAGGTTTAACTCCGTCTTGGAGTGTACAATAAAGCCGAAACTTGGGCTTTGAACTTCAGAGACTAAGAATAATACCAAACTAATCTAAACTAAAGAGGTATAGCCGAAGCTATCACAATTCTAACAGAGTTGACCCCTTAACTTAAATAGATTGCGAAGCTATCAAGGGCCTAAAGTACGGCCGAGTGTGATAATAGCTAAAAGTGAGAGAGTAGCCTAAAAATGGCGGACGCGTGCAGACAGAATACCTGGTATCTCTCTCACTAAAACCGAAGAACCTCGCGGTTGAACATCGCTCTTCCTCATTATGTATTCAGACGTGATTCTAAAACTACGTTCTGGCCGGAAGTATAAGTTGAAGTTAAGAATCGATAGGAAAGGAACTTTAACTCAAAATTTAACTGTTGATAAAATTAACATAATCCTTACAATCTTACTAAGGTTCCACGATTTTATTACTCAGCCACTCATTGGCTAACGCCAGCCTTAAAAGAACAAGCGACTATTATCATATAAAGTACTTCTATATGCTTCAGCTATTTCGAACACAAAATGCAGTTTTTCCTAGAAGCTTTGAAATAATCATTATTTACAATTTCTGTTGATTATCATAATTTTTAAGTATCGCAATAGTCGTTATGACATAAACAGACACTTTAAACCCTAAGTAAATTTTTAAAATGTATGAAAAAGACAGAAAAGGAGAGTTGCTTTGAGGCTAGTCTGTGTTAGTAATGCTTTCTTTCTGCTTTTAAGTACTACAATTTTCGTAATCGCAACCAAGAAATTTCGGTTGCGATTACGAAATCGGTCGGTTCGTAATCGAACCAAGAAAACCAAGAAAAATGAGACATTTTCTTGGTTCGGCAAAACTCTACTTAAACTATTCCAAGAAACTGATATCTGATGTAGATAGCGCATGACTTCCTTGTACCACCTATTAAATTATTCACACTTTTTGCTGCACTTCATTTAAACTCATTTCTTCTAATTACTCATTCAGTCAATTCAATTATCACTTCGCGGCAAGGCAAAACATACATAAAAACTCAAATCATTGGGAAAAAACCCTAAAACATCAAATACAGTTCAAAAAAGTTTTTAAAGTATTTTTACAATTAAAATTAAAGTTTCTACGCAAAAAGAAGCACTTCGGTTAACGGGCAGGAAGTCAAATTTTCGGTGCACACAATTGAAAGTTAACTTTTGGTCCTATTTGGCCAAAAGACACTGAAGTGTGCACCAATTTACTTAATTCCATTTTCTAGTATGAGTTTCGAATGCAAACAAATGGCGTTCTCGTTAGCCCTAGAACCACTTAAATTTTTAAATTGTTTATAATTCTACCAATTATCTACCAATTTATAATTCTAAAATCTCAACCAAAACATAGGAATAACATAATTCAATCACTTTTAAAGCACAAAATGCACAATTTACCAACATATAAGAATAAAAAACAGAGCTCACCAAGCCGGGCAAGAATATCCGTATATATGTTTGGTGCGGCCGATTAGTTAAATCATTTTTGTATTTGAAAGTATGTATTCTTGCTGCCACAGCATGTATATTTAAGTATAGAGAAAGATGGAAAGGGAGATTGTTGTACAGTATTAGACGAAGTTGTAGCCAGCAAACGGTTACAGGAAAAGAAATGTACTTTACATACGCCTTTCTGTATCATTTACAGCCTTTATTTACTCCAATATTTCATTGCTTAGCCAAAGCACTCACTGATTAACTGTGCACTTTTTCAAAAAAATAAACTCATAGGCTTAACTAGCAAAAATGAGCTGTTTCTACCAATAAAATATAGAATGTGAAAACATTAATTTGGTCTACAGATTAAAAGAAACCTAGCTAACCTGAATATTTTATTATTCAGTTAAGCTGCGCTCCTGTTAGTCCGGATAGTTGAATTTAAAAATAACTATATTTTTATTATTTCAAATAATTACAGATTAATATTTTTCACAAAATAAAACTATCTACTTAACCATCGTGATATTGAGTAAAGTGTGCATAAGCACATGCATTGATAGTTCTATACGCATTTGTCCGTATCAAAATACTTGTTATAAATACACTACACTGATTCTTATTCAGATTTCCGTAAATGTTAGTAAAAAAGCCAGCATACTCATTTATTCAACAGCCAGCTCCAAAACGCATCAATAATTCTTTTTTACAACCAAAAATCGTACTATGCGCAGTGCCCCTCTGGTACCTGGCTTTAATGGTGGATAGCATTCCATAATAAATGCTTGAAACGTTTTATGGCTCGGGCGTGTTATCCTTCCTCTAGTTAAAACTCTTCATAAAATTACGAGCTAGAAACATCTAAAGTGGTTTCTGCCTTCTCTTACATAAAAGATAACATCTCATTATGAATTCAAGAAATAAAATTATTTCTTTCATATATAACCGTTAATCAGGAAAAAAAAATTTTCTTTCAAGTTTTTACGGATCAGTTCTGTTACTAAAACGATACATACTTGTTAAAAATGAAAACAAAATTATTGCATGGGAGAACTGTTGCATTCTAACTTCGTTGTCAATACCTAGACAGAATATTAATCAATACTAACTCATATATGAGCCTCATAGATTATGTATACACTTGTCATGTACCATCTTAAATCGCATATACGCATAGTAATTCTGTTCTATAACTGTTCAGATATTTTGATCCGATACATAATAAATAATATTACTTAAATAATACACATTGACACCTCGGGTCAGGAACTTAATTCGTTCCTGAAAGCCGTTCGTTAACGAAATATCCGTAAATCGGAACAATTTCTCCCTTAAGTATTAATATAAAATGCATTATGTCATTCCTGGACCGCAGATGATTGCTTATTTTAAGTTTACAACAACACTTTGTGTTGTAAGGATCTTAAGTTTTACTAACGTTTATTTTATTTAAATCTTTACTATCACTTCTTATTTTCTTCCGGCCAGAATTATAAGCAAGGTTTGCAAAGTTTGTCTGGCGAACGCCAAGTATTGTTGTGGCTTTTTGCCAAGCGAGAGAGAGGAAGCAGTGAGTCAAAGCAGGCCGCTTACCTTAGAAGTTACGCAGTTGCTGTTTGCCTTCCAGGCCCAGAGGTTTTAATCCTCTTGATAAATTTAAACGTATTGTAGTGTTCACAGTTCTCTGTACTACATATACGCTTCCTGTTAATATAAGGCCAATCTTCCACGTTTATTATTCTAAAGTTAAATTAGAGTTTAGTTTTATTTTTATACTTTTACGTTTAGACCCCAAGTAGCGGGTCAGTGTATTCCGAAGTACGGAAGTTATTGTATATAGAGAAAAATAAAGGGTTTTGTATACCCTTCGTCTGTATCCTGTCTACTTACCACAATTAGTGAACATAGCTTTAGTAAGCTCTCTGTTCCGAGTCAGGTCCTTGTATGTTCCCGAAGAAGGTAAGAAGGAACATTGAACCTGATAGTGGCGCCCAACGAAGAAGAATAACCATGGCCGAGTTTCAAGAAGAACCTGTGCTGCCTGCAGAAACGGCTCAGAATCCAGAAATGCCAGCTGCCGCCCTGGAAGGATTTGGTTACATCGTCCAGACCATGCGCGCTTCGATGAAACCAGAAGCAACATTTAATGGAAACTCACCGGTAACCAGTTTTTTGGAAAAATTGGATGACCACTTCATGCTCTACCCCGTGCACGAGTTTCAAAAAGTTACCTTAGCTACCAGCGCTTTGAGGGGCCAAGCGCTTAACTGGTTCAAATGTATAGGCAGAAGTCTCTTGGGTCAAGCAGGAAGTCCCACCTATACTTACGAAAATTTCAAGACTGCCCTACTAAAAGCCTTCCCTGTTGTAAGGGATCGTGCGAAATTAGAAACGGAACTTTTCAGTATATATCAACAAAAGAATCGAAAATCCTCTCGAGCTTTATTTTAAGAAAAATTCACGTTTTCAAACTCTTGTATGGAAACCGTCCGGATCCTGAAATAATTCAAGTGATTTTGCCGAGGTTACTGCCCCAAGTGCAAGACTTTATTGAATTAAGAAATCCGACTACACTGGAAAAGTTATTTGAGCTAGCAATCCAGTTTGAAAGTAGAAGAACGGCGGACGTCGAAAGAAGACGCCAATAT